CTGTCACTTTAATCAGTCTAAATAAGCTCTTTTGCACTACAAATCATTATATCTGCACTGTTGTTACTTCACTGGTTTGCACTTGTTGTATTACAAATTTATAAAATGTTAAATCTAGGTTCCAATGTAATAGAATATATACTGAAAAAGTTATGTACCTTGTGTTTTACATTTTGAGGTAAAAAAAGGATGACCTTTCTAAGGAGATCAAATCAAGAGGCCCAGGTGTCTGAGATAATGACCTTTTGTCTTTATGCTCTTCCTGACCATCTGGCTTTTTAAGCTCAAAGCACAGCTGTACCTTTGTCTCTGTGATAATGCGAAAGTATGGCGATACTGTCAGACTGATTGGATCAGCACCTATGCATTGAATGACACTGTTATACTGATTAGATCAAGGCTGGGAAAATGCCTGTGTCGGGCTGATTCCTGTACTTCATTTGCATGCTATGGGTTAGATTGTCTCCACCTCTACGGAATGTATCCCGCCCCCTTTAAAATTTATATAAACTACAATGTAACACTACGTTAGTCAGACTTGGATGACTGCAGCGACGCTCGAGTCCTCAATAAAGAGTGACTTCTGTATGAAACATATCCCAACGTCTCCTGGTCTCTGCTTCGATGAGGAAAAAGTTTCCAACAGGGGTCAATGCAATTTTTTTTTTAAGAAATTAATGATTTTATTTAGCAAGGATGCATTAAATTGTTCAGAAGTGGCATGTTTATAATGCTACAAAAGATTTCCATTTCAAATAAAAGCTGTTCTTTGAAACTTTCTATTCAAAGGATCTTGAAACAAAACTGCAACACAATTTTCATAATAAAAATTAAGTAGCACAACTGTTTCAACACTGATATTAACAAGAAATGTTTCTTGATCACCAACATATTAGACTGATTTCTGAAGGATCACGTGATACTGAAGAGTGGAGTAATGACTGCTGAAAATTCAGCTTTGCTATCATAGGACTAAATAACATTTTTAAATAGGCCTATATTACAATAGAAAACAGTTCTTTTAAATTGAAATAACATGTCACAATATTACTGTTTTACTGTACTTTTGCTAAAATAAATGCAGTCTTGGTGAGCGTAAGAGACTTCCTTCAAAAAAATAAAATAAAATCGTACCCACCCCCAAACATTTCACAGTAGTGTATATGCATACTTAATGCTCAGAGAACTGAAATTGCAATCCCTGATGAGCAAGAGCTGTAAATACAAAATGTGGGGGCTCTGGTAAAGTAGTGTGGTGTGCCAAAATGTGAATACAGCTTCTGCAAATTTCATGCATGTCTCAAAGCTCTTGTCTCAGTAAAATCAAATCAGTTTTGTGCTTTATTTGTTTTGCTGGTTAGAACTTGCTATGGCTGACAGCAGTTCATGATCATTTTATTTTTTACAAAATAATAATTTATTGTTATTAACAATAATGATTTGTGATTTGCCACTAATAATAATACTGTTAATGAATTATTATTTAAGTGACTCACATCCTCTGTGTCCTTCACTCTCAGAATCTGCTCTCGTAGGTCCTGCAGGTCATTGAAGGTGGACTGTGCTGTAATGGAGTAAACCAGAGCGAAACCCTGCCCATTCTTCATGTACAGGTCCCTCATCGCTGTGAACTGCTCCTGTAGGCAAACAATCAATAATCTATTGAGTTCACATGGAAGACTAATTAACTAATTGGCCAGATGAGTTCAGGCATTATATTAAACTCACTGTGCCTGCAGTATCCAGGATCTCTAGCATACATTGCTGCCCATCAACCTCAACTTGCTAAAAAAAAAAAAAAAAACAGAGAGGGTGTCAGTACTGCATTAGCGTATAATCCTATATGGAGTATTATTCAGCTATACCAAAATGGTTTACTTACCTTTCTATACGAGTCTTCTATTGTGGGATCATATTTTTCAACAAATATTCCCTGTACAAACTGAACTGTCTGTAAAAGACCAGAATCTCAATCATTCCAAATAAATCTTGAATAAATACAGACTAGAGAGAAAAACACTACAGATACATTCAGATACTGCCCATTTATAATACAGTAATGTGTAGACTTTAATAATGCTGAAGTTACCAGTGCAGACTTCCCCACGCCTCCAGAGCCCAGGACCACAAGCTTATATTCACGCATTGTGGGTCTCTCTGTTGAGGCCTGTTAGATTCAATCACAGCACATACACACACTTATCATTCATCAGTGCAAGGTTTGAAGCTCTCAACAGGCTTCTGGTCTTCTTAGGACGTGCTTAGCACACTGAGGTTTCCAAAACCATAAATGTTAACCATATTTATACCACTATTTTATAAAGATTTTCATGGCTTACTAGGTATGAAGTCATACAGCGCCCTGTTGCCTACATTATTTTAAATCTAGATTTTTTTTTTAGTGTTGCTCTGAATTCACCATGAAACCAAAATTATTTTCTCTGATCACGTGTACCAACAATTTCCAGATGGAACACATCAAGCACCACCCTCACTCACAATACTAAAGAAAAGACGACCACAACTTCCATTTCATGCCATGTTTAAATAGCATGCTTTAGTTATAAAGTTTGCATGGTAAAATAACTCTTTGATAAATTGCTTATTTAAAAAATTATTTTAAAGCACTGTCATTACAGCTATGCACATTCCCAGCAAATGTTTTACAGGGCTATTTGAGATCATTCAGAGTGCACTTTAAATTCCACTGTGATCAAGGATGCAAATGCACTCAAAATGACCAAACCAAAGCTTATCTACTGCATGCAGGAGATCCAACTGATGCTATGCTAATGCACCAGTTCATTCAGCCTGAAGCAATCAAATCTAGAAAAAGAGGCTCAATTAAAACATTCTGAACACTGAGGAAAGTTAAAGTCAGCATTAAATGAAAATTATGAAAGCATTTTATCTTCTATTGTGATGCATATCAGATAAAAAACGGCTTCTTGAATGAGGAAAATATAAGGTATTAGTTGATTTTGTCCATCAGGAATTCTTTGCTACTGTAATTGCTGAGATTGCATGTGGGTGACACGTCACTGGAGGAGAGGAATGATTGTTCCATCCAGCATCAGAGAAGAAATGTTGTTGAGTGCACAATCCATGCAATTATCATTTATGAAAGACAAATATTCCCTAAAAATCATCATGATTTCTTGGTGACTTTACTACAGTCCCATACACATCAAAACCTTCCACTAGTCAACTACCTTGTCATCCTGTCCTATGGAATTACTTTTGTGCTAATAAAAATGAATGTAACTTTTCAAGAAACTTATGAAAATATAAAGTGAAACTGAATAAAATGTCTTTAAAACTGAAAAATAAATAAATCGCAGGCAAAATATTTGACTTCGTTTTTAATACACTGCATGTTTTGCTAACAGTTTTCTCCTCTTTCTTTCGCTGATCTGTACTTACAAATGCGCTTCCAAAGTTTTCATTTACACTTCTGAAGTTTTCATTTACGCTCCCTGAGATTTTGTTCATCATTCTGGCAGAAATCTCAGGATACTGGATACTCACGGTAAGTTGTCTTGATTCATCTCAATCATTACAGGACCTGGTTATCTACATACAGCTACAGTCTTCAATTAGATCATATTTGCTTCGATTAGATCATATTTCCCCCCAGTACATAGAGTACTGTACAGCACAAAATGTACTGTATATGACAATGACTGATGCCATTTTACAAGAGTGCTGTCAATCACTGCCTGTTTCCCAGAGAGCGCTGTCAACTTTAAAATTGTAAAGCCTTTTTAACATGCTTTTTCCGGGGGGGGGGGGGGAACAACACAC